GGTTTTAGCCATTGGGCGGTTCAATAGCCAATTGAGTCATCTTTCCAAGATTCCTTTTGAGTCTCTCTCCCCTCTCCCGGGGAGACCCACATGACCAGTTTTGGAAGTGAGCAACAAGCACAAGTGTGTGTATGTGTGTGTGTATGTATGTGTTTGTGTGTGTGTGTGTGTGTGCGCGCGCGCGTCCTCAGCCCTTGCAAAGACCCTTGGAGTGCCTGAGGACATTGGTCACATCGTACGGGAACGGCGTTTGCGCTGGCTTGGACACGTGACACGGATGGAAGATCACCGGTTGCCCAAGTGTGTTCTCTTCGGTGAACTGCCTGCCCCGCGTCCCGCGCATGGTCCACGCACGAGGTGGAGGACGTCATTATGGATGACGTTTCGTCGGTTGAGCCACCGGTACCAACATGTTGATGGTACGGTGCAGCCCAGAACAGTCCGGAGTGGCGTACCATTGCCCGTCGACCACCCAAGGCACCCTCTGCTGCTGGCTACGGTTGCGCCTGCGGCCGCATGTTCCGTCGAAGTGGCGACCTGAAACGCAATCAGTCGTTCTGTAGTGGACTGGAGAATTAACTATGCGCTATCATTGCTAAGCAATGGGCAAGGTAAAGGTGTGTGTGTGTGTACTGCATGTGTGTGCATGTGTGTGTGTGTGTGTACAGTATGTGTGTACGTGTGTGTGTGTGTGTGTACAGTATGTGTGTGTGTGTGTATGTGTGAGTGTGTGTGTGTACAGTATGTGTGTGTGCATGTGTGTGTGTGTGTTTGTACAGTATGTGTGTGTGTGTATTGTGTGCCACGAACCTTTCTGCCGGTTGCCGCCATATTAGTCCTTTCTCTATCATTGCCTCTGGCAATGGGCAAGTTCAAGGTTCAAGGATGTGTGTGTGTGTGTAGTCATGCATACACTCTCGTGTGTGGTTGAGTTGGCCAGACAAAGTGACCGTGCATGGGCACGAGGTTTCCGTCATGTCGATGGTATTGGAATTACGTACCGTCTTTTCTGGAGACAACGCCACACTTTGAACACTCAAAATTCACCCAAAAGAATGGCTTATGTTCCAATGTTTAGGAATGGGTTTGCTCCCACACTGGAGTTCCCGCTATTCCGTCGACGACTTGACACTTGACTGACTCACGACTGCCATCCAGAGAATGGACTTCTCGTGTTCTCTGGATGGCAGTCGTGAGTCAGTCAAGTGTCAAGTCGTCGGCGAAATAGCGCGAGCTCCAGTGTGGGAGCAAACCCATTCCTAAACAAAATCATCGCCGAAGTCACAACCTCTATTTTATATTCCAATGACCAAAATAACAGTGATCGTCAAATAGATGTCTGTATTTCGTGGCGAAAAAATGTGGGGGGGGGGGGGGGGGAGGGGGAGGGGGTGCGGCTTATGCTCCGGAAAATACGGTACTGCATGACTTGTATTCTAAAATATAAATTTCTCTTAGCCTTGTTAGTGGAATTTGTGTCATTGCTCAGCGGGTATGGGTTGCGACGCCTTGTTGGTTATTGTGTAGGAACAACAAGTTACGCTATAATGTCCACTAACACCACCAGTTACTTGACAATCAGCTCATGCATGTTGAATCTTTAGAGCCAGACAAGTTGTGTGCTATGTTGCTATGCGTCCTTGAATCTTGGTTTGACCGTACTGTCCAATGGTCTTGCCAGTATCGTCATGGACATGCATGTACATCGGCCTTCACAGCTAAGACTTTCAGCTTGTGCTTGTCTTGGTTGTGCTCACCTTCCCCTCCTATGTTATCATATAACTAAGAACATTCCAAGTTGGAATGCTGTTGGAGTGCGCATCCAAGACTTGCTAGAGCTAGAGGTGATAGCCAGTTAGTTGTAGAAGGTCAGTACCGTCGGTCAGTGCCGTGCAATGTTATCACATGAGTTGATTGTCATGTGACACAGGGGTGTTGAACATGCTACGGTCACTACGCTATTGCCCGTATCACTTTTTTTCCCCAGGTACCACCCCGTGAACCAATAAAATACACTGATTTGGACTCTAAATTTCCAGAATTTCGACTCAGCCACCCCTCCCCCACGAGTAACTTGTACTTCAGATGACTGACCTTACCACACTATAATACCTTCAGATGCCCCTGTAACTGATGGTGTTAGTGGACTTTATTGCGTAACTTGTAGTTCCTTGGTGGTTTTTGTGTTTTCTTGGTTTAGCCGACAGTTTCATTTCTGTGTTCTGTAGTGATTGGCCTGTGGAAACAATGATCCAAGTGGATGTCATTGTGTTCTATGTATGTGCCTTTTGCAACAGGTTCAAGGAAGATGCACGTCATGAAGCATTCGGCCCGTGATCTCAGTGTCTGGTAGCTTATGTAGCCGTGGTTGTATGGGTGATCAAAGATGATACTCTGCATATCAATGTAAGTGTGAAGTATTTGTGCTCTGCCCATACAACACAGCAACAACTACAGAGTTACATAGCCAGTGGCTGGCAATGGTGAAGTTATCATATGAATATGTGTTAGTATTCCTGACCTATTGTAAGCAAGTAAGCTCATCATTACTACAAGACTAATAGTATTACTAGCAGCAGACATGACGTCATTCTCCTGTTTACATACCTCTAATATCTGTATGTACAGCTGCAGCAGCAGTGGGTACCATGGCAACACAGTACACACTTTATCTCCCTCCCATGTTCAGTTTTACTGCTCTGCACACACCATCGTGGTGTGGTTTGCGTGTGTTGTGTGTTTTTGTTCTCAGCATCTTCAGCATAGTACACGTAGTGAATCATGTACCGGGTTACTTTCCATCGCCTGCTGCCTCCGCCGCCGTTTACGTATCATTTTTATTGAGATGACGTGAGTTTACCGTGATCAGTGATTTCCCCGTCACCCCGGCTTGCCTGCTGTCATACTGAAAGCTATCCAATCTATTGAATCTATCCTTTTTGTTCTTGCCTGCAACAGTAATCAACACTCTACCATCTATTTGCTGTTGTTTTGTACGTCGCTGCACGTTTGAGCCAGCTACACTGCACTCGTGTGTGTATATGTGTACGGTCTGTCTGAATATCTATAGTCACATGACCAGTGCATGGTTACATCATCAAGAGTACACACAGCTGTACTGTGGGGTGCTGAAGAACGGTTGGGTTAGGTGAAAAACGGACATGCAGGCTGGAATTTCACCCTGGCACAGCATACCAATGTATAGACAGTAACTCAACTGTGCATAAACCATAGTACATGAAAATAGGAATGCTCTAGGCTACTACCAGGCTGACCCCCCAGTTCTTTCTAACCCAACAGTACAGTGTAAGTTTGACATCATCTACATGCAGTAGATATCCGCAAAGTTACATGGTGCAATGTACTATGTGTACTGGGGGTAATAAAATAATGACCTCTCTGGAATGGTGCGCTGTACTGGGGGGTAATACTGCCCTCTCTGGAATGGTGCCCGGGGTGCAGTGCAGACCGTGACTGAATGCTTGAGATCAAGGAAATACATTACAGCTGTATCATGTGTGATGAGGTGATGCAGCATGGCCGCGGTGCAGTGTGGACTGAGAGCAATGGAGTTTCCGCGCGTCTCATCACACCAAGACTAGATAAACTCTTCGTCACAGTCATTAGGAGCAGGAGAGTGCCGGCTACAGCTGATCAAGCGTACCACCAGAAATAATGAATGTATTTCATTAAATGGTGGCATTGGTGTCAACATTGACAAACACGTACATCAGCAATCGACTATCAGAGCAGAAGCAGAAGATCAGTGAACACCATCAGTATAATTATACTGTATATACATATCTATAAGACTATTGTACAGTGTACTCAGCACTTGCTCGTGACAATAACCACATGAACAAAACCAAGAGAAGAATCGTTACGGAGAGCTACGTAGTGTGCAACAGTATGAACAGAAGTATTGTCTGCAACATCAGCAGTTGCACTACCAGTAACATGTATTCTTGTGTGTATACTTGACTGTGAGGAATTATATCCGTAAATTCTAGAATAACCAGAAAACTGATCATTGAACTGTTTCTTTAGCAGAGTCATGCATGCTACACAATACAATCATTGAAAACAGTACACACACAAATTACATTCTACTCAAGTGAATTCAATACTCAGTGTGATGTGTGCTGCACGCCTACACACATACACACACATACACACACACACACACACACACACACACACACACACACACACACACACACACACACGTACACACACACGTACACACACACACACCATTCTGGAAGTTGTGCAATCATTGACTGTTGGTTGGTAGATCAAACTTGAACATTACGTCAGCTCTGTCCTTGCCTACTCCTTCAGCAACGGCTGGAAGTGATAGAAAGTTTTTAAAGAACAAATTATACATGCATGCACACACACACACGCACACACACACACACGATGCACACAAAGATGCATGCACAAACACACGTACGCACACACACACACACACACATGCACACAAATCGCACAAAAATGTTGGCCTTCTGGAAAGACAGGCAGTTCGTAGGCAGTACGGTCATTCTCGTATTCAAATTCAACACACAAAGAAATGACCTGCATATAGAAAATAGAAAAGAAAAAGGACCAAGGAACTACAAGTTACGCTATGATGTCCACTAACACCACCATTAACCCAGGCCCACGTGTAAACACCCAGGTCTCCGGGCATACCTCTGCATATGCACATGCGCAAGCGCATGTGCACGCACGCGCACACACATTCATGTACACAAACATAATTGCAGACACTCCAACGCCCCGTCTGTGCGTACAACGACGTACTCGCGCACGCACTCACAAGCAATCAGCACATAAGTTGGGAGTTGCCATGACTTCATTTTGATTACTTCAGCAAAGTGATGATAGACCAGTTCCCAGAATGCAAACGATAATATTTGCGTCATATCATCACATACGGTCGTCAGTAATTCACACTACCCGCCGGGGGCAGACGCACGAACAGCCCACCATCATAATAATTATTGTATGTGTGTGGTGTGACGCCTCATGCCAGGCAGTTGTGTGAGTTCTTGGCGTCGGTGGTCGTTCGTTTGCCCTCGCTGGGCAGTATGAGGTCGGCCCTAGCGGGCAGTATGCTTTTGCCCTTGGCGGGCAGGTTGTCGGCCTCGGTGGCTGTTCGTTTGCTCAATAGCCAGTATGATTCAGCCCTCGGCGGGCAGTATATAATCGGTCCACGGTGGGCAGCATTCTTTGGCCCTCGGTGGGTACTACGCTTTATCCCTTGGCGGGAAGTTTGCTGTAGCCCTCGGGGACAGGCTATTGACCTTGACGGCCGTTGTGCACCCTCGGTTGGGTGGTATGCTTTAGCATTCAGTAGGCAGGTTTCAGGCCTCGGCGGCCGTTCGTGCGCCCTCGGTTGGGCTATAATCATGCGCCCTCGGTGGTGCTATGATCATGCGCCTTCGGTCGGGCTATAATCATGCGCCCTCGGTCGGGCTATAATCATGCGCTCTCGGTCGGGCTATAATCATGCGCCCTCGGTTGGGCTATAATCATGCGCTCTCGGTCGGGCTATAATCATGCGCCCTCGGTCGGGCTATAATCATGCGCTCTCGGTCGGGCTATAATCATGTGCTCTCGGTCGGGCTATAATCATGCGCTCTCGGTCGGGCTATAATCATGCACTCTCGGTCGGGCTATAATCATGCGCTCTCGATCGGGCTATAATCATGCGCCCTCGGTCCGGCTATACGCTTCTCTCGCGCCCTCAGTTGGGCAGTATGCTTTAACCCTCGATGGATAAGCTGTAGGCCTGGGCAGCCGTTCATACGCCCGCAGCGGGCATGTTTCTGGCCATGTCTGCCATTTGTGCGCCCTCGGTGGGCAGTATGCTAACGGTCCACAGCAGGCAGGATTACTTAGCCCTCAGTGGCTTGGCTGTTGACCTCCCCAGCCGCTCATGTCACCGGCCCACGGTGGGCAGCTGCAGGCTAGCCCTCGGTGGCCAAGAACTCACACAACTGCCTGGCATGAGGCGTCACACCACACACATACAATATGATGGTGGGCCATTCGTGCGTCTGCCGCCGGTGGGCGGTGCGAATTACTGACGACCGAATGTGATGATATGACGCAAATATTATCGTCGCTGTCTTGGAACTGGTCTATCATCACATACTATTATATTTAATACATTTAATCAAAATGAAGTCATGGCAACCCCCAAACCTATGTGTTGATTGCTTGTGAGTGTGTGCGCGAGTACGTCGTTGTACGCACAGACGGAGTGTCTGCTATTATGTTTATGTACATGAATGTGTGTGTGTGTGTGTGTGCGTCCGCATAGCCAGAATATGGCAGCGCGTCCAAGGTCCAAGGGCGTGCGTGTGTGTGTGTGTGTGTGTGTGCGTGCGTGCGTGCGTGTGTGTGTGTGTGTGTGTGTGTGTGTGCGTGTGTGTGTGTGTGTGTGTGTGTGTGTGTGTGTGTGCGTGCGTGCGTGTGTGTGTGTGTGCGTGTGACCTGACTTGCGTGTGTACCCGTGGGCCTGGGTTAAAAGCTAAAACTGCATTTTGACACATGAAGAAATCAAGTGCAAAGGAACGCTCCTTCACATCCCGACAATTGAAGAGCTTGAAGAAGACACGTCTTCCGATATGACACGATAACACTAACAGGATGTCTGTACAATTTTGCCAGCTTGTAAATCGTGCAGGGATAGTCACGTGACACACACTCACAGCAATATGCCAATATTGCGCGTGTGCCAGGGCTAACTAGACTTTGCTGTGCAAAGCCTACATGTTACTGAACAATCAGCTCATGCGATAACATTGCACGACACTGACCGACGCTACTGGCATTCTACAACTAACTGGCTAAAGCGCGATGCACAATATCACTTATGCGACGCGATGAGCGACGAGCAATGCGATCGAAATGTTTTTCTGCAAAATTTTGAATCGCACCTCCGTCGCAGGTCTCATCGCGGAAAGTTGAGCCTAGTTCAACTTCTGCGACAAGCGACGAGCGATGCGCATCACTTTCTACACGGCGGGCGCACATGACAGCTCGCGTACAGTTTGGACTGTGCATGCCCTGCAACGATGTGCCGTGCATTGTGCATCGAAGACTCTTCGTGCGATTCGAAAAAAGACTTTCGCTCGACGCTCATCGCATCGCAGAATTGATATTGTGCATCGCGCTTTACTGCTCCCTGATACAGACCAGCTGAGGTGGACCGGAAAGTTTGCTGCAGACTTTATGGTACTGGTCAAGTACACACATCTGTAGATGGAGAGTCTGGCTAGGGTGACTAGTGTAGTGTCTGTCTGATCATCATTATTCATCAACAAACAGGTGTACCCGTATTTCATACACTCATCAACACTGTACATCTACTACTGTACAACACATACCTGGGAATATGCTGATGTTGTGCAACGTCTTCCTGCAATCAATCCGAGATGAACTCCAGGACAGTAGACTTGCTATACCGTAGCATGGAATTGTACAATGGCCGTCGAAGTTTGTCCATAGAGCATGGGTTCCCGTACAAGTGTACACCCTCCATCCTCATGATGCCTGGTGACTGCAGCATGGCTTGAATGCTATCATCGGTGATCTTGCAGTACTCGAGGCTGATCAATCTCAAGCTTGTGTTCTTCCTCATCATATCCACCAGGGCATGCACTGTGGCATCATCAATCTCATTGTTTGCCATATCCATCCATTCAATACGCGCATGGTGATGGAGAGAGTGTAGGATACTTGCACCAACTTCATCACTCATGCCCGTCCTGGCAAATGAAATGAAGCGCAGCCGGTGGAATCCAGAGAGAAGCTGGCATAGCAGTTTGAAATCAGCATGACTGGGCTGTATATCATGAAACACTGGGTTGTGCTCCAGATCCAATGCACTGACATGTGATTGTGGTGATGTCACTGCTTGTAGTATACTCACAACACCAGATAGCTGTATCCTATTCCTGTGCAGATCAAGGAATTTCAGCACTGTGTTGTCAGCAAGGCCAGATGTTGCCAGAGCAGTTGCTCCAGCATCGGTGATGTTACACAGTGCTATGTCCAGTAGGTGTAGGTCAGTGTTGGTTGCAAGGTACTGACCAAGTGATGACATCATGGAGTCATCAACCTGACCCTGTAGGTGACCACCATGTACACTGACCAGAAAATCAATCGACTGAGTCTGTACTGAAGTACCAGTAGCATAGCGGCTGCCAATGTCGATTACGTCACCACCACATTGACTAGACGTAGCCACTTCCTGTAGAAGACGGATTGTTACACCAGTGCCGTTCAGATAAACCCTGCATGGTGGTAGTGTTGTGCTGACACTCCCAGTGTGCTCACGACCGCGACGAGCTTGCAGAAAGTCAACCACACTAGCGGCTAGCTCATCAGTCAGTCTGTTGTTGGTAAAGAAGAGATGCTGTATGGTATCATGAGAATGGAGACTGGATAGTACACATGACACGTCACTGTTGGAGAGTGAGTTGTTATCCAGCCATAGAGCTTCAAGGTGTGGTAACTTTGTGACCAGTGTTGCCAGGTCAGATCCACATCCACTATCCAGACTGCACCTTCCCAGTCCTAGATCTGTGAGATTGTTACACGTAGCCAAGTTGCTCACAAATGCTGCCAGACCATCATTGCCAAGTAATGTATAGTGTGCATCCAGGTACGTTAGACTTGGGTGTTTTACACATCCAGCAAGTGCTGCTCCATCTGCAGATCCACTGGTCAAACTTGCGCCGCTAATATCAAGAACCTGGAGGGTACGCCGTGTTGATCTAGACAGTGTGCTTGATATGCTTCCCAATGGTGCTGCAGTGAGATGGGCACCACGCAAAGTCACCTTGACGCATTTATCCAGTTGATCAGACAGCAAAATGACACTGTCACTTGACAGATTACAAGTGCCGAGATCCAGAGACTTTACATGGTCTACAAGCTCCAAAACAGTATGTAAAGCCATCACATCAACAACTTCAAGGTGGATTCCACTAACATCAATTCCGTCACTGGCCAGGAGGTTGGCTGACATAGCATAGCAGCTACGGGTGATTATGTCAGTGTCCTGATTGGGATTTCCCTGAGTGTGGGTATGTTGGAGTGAAATGCGGTTTTCCATCAAACATCTCATCATGAACAGAAGCATCTTCTTCTTGCTCCTGACAGTATGATCACTGATGCTGTTTTCAGACTGTAGAGCCAACAATGATGAAAATAGAATGTCTGGCTTTAGTGCTCCAAAGACAAACTGCCAGAAGACAAGTGTGTTCAAGTCTGTGCCGACAGTGTTGGTGCAGCTGCGGATGATGTCTACGCACGAGTCAGAAGAAATGATGCATCTCGATGCACACCACTCTTGCAGTGTCAAGTGAGTCAAGGACACAGTCTGAGTGGAACCGACGAACGACGGATGCATACCAGGGTTGAGCAGTAAGCCGAGATCTTGACAAATGGACTGGTGGAGGGTTGACAGCGTGGATGTAAACGTAGCCATGCCCCTTTGATATGTTGCAAGACACATTGTGTAGAGATTGTGCAATGCCTTGACTAGCTCCACAGCATGGTGATCACACTCCTCATCATTGTTGCTTGTCTCCTTCACATAGCGCTCCAAATGATGTTCTATTACCACGGGGATACTGACAAGATCACCACAACTGAAGTGCCGGCCACCACTGCAGTGACTGATGACGTCATGTGCAAGCCGTACTTGACCAAACTTTCCTCGTCGCTTTTCCAGCTTTGCGACTGAGGAGCGTAAGTAGTGGTCGTAGAAAAGTGTCACACTGGAGGGTAGCGAGTTGTTGATGGGATATTGCTGAACGAGCAGAGCACATAGGAGTGGAGATTGTCGAATGGCTTCCTTCAGCAGACAGTTGGGCGGCTGTGAGAGCTCTGTCATACACTTCTTGGCAACCTCCTCTGCGAGCTGTCGTGAGCAGTACGCAAAGAGCTGGTCTGTCGAGAAGCCGAGAAGTCGGAAACGTAAGCGGAAGCTCTGGATATGGTGATACGCTTCATCACACGGTCGGCTAGTTGCGACTACAATAGCATCAGGTAGTAGTGAATGGTCACTGCTGCTGCTCCTCAATATTACAGCTTGGGCTGCTGATCCTTTGCCAAACCCACCACTGCCAAGTTCGTCGATGCCATCAATAACGATCAATACCTGGTCAGAATGCTCTGTTAGGTACCTTAGCAAGGTAGATTGCTCCGGTTTACTGATGCCCAACTTGTCCAAACCAAGAAATACAAACCAATCAGGCGACTGTGTACGTGTCAAATCACGGCATGGCACGTAGAAAATGAATTCAATCTTTGCCAGATTTCCAGTCTTTGTCTCCATGATGTCGGCAATGACTCGTTTGCTCAGTGTTGTCTTTCCCTGCCCAGCGTTCCCAATTACGATGCAACTTTCCAGAATGTCTTCGTCAACTGTGTCATCACCACCACCAACACCAACACCACTTTTGCCAGCGCTAGTTACACCTTCATAATAATGGGGATCAGACAAGAGCTGCTTAGCGCTGGACAGAACAAACTGCCTTCCTCCTTCCACTTTGTCACTCTTATCTTGTCTAGCTCCTGGGATAGCAACGCCTGGTGTACGGTCAGATATTGGCTGTCTTCCAGTGACACAGCGAGTTGCAGCTTGTTGCGCACGATACGTCAGCTGCAGAGCATCTTTCTCCGTCAGAGCCTGCATGGGCACGAAGCAATCCTTGACATCGCCGGACAAGCAAGTTAGATCTGAATGATCAGCGGTGGTCTTGCACAGATGTGTATTCACTCTGTGCAGATGTTGTTTAAGACGTTGAATGTGCCCACCATTGTCTGCTCCATCATCATTCACTAACAGTATATTACATGTCACTGTGCCATCGTTAGCTGTGTTGCTGCCTGCACGCATAGTAGCAACATCAACTGTGGTGAAACACAGGACAGGAAAGAGGAAAAAGAACAAATTGTTTGATGGTATATCATTGTACAGATGTACTGTGATGATATGTTGACAAGTATATTCCTAAATGTAGATAGTGTGTGTGTGTGTGTGTGTGTGTGTGTGTGTGTGTGTGTGTCTGTGTGTGCGAGTGTTTGTGTGTGTGTGTGTATGTGTGCAACATCACCAGCAGAGGCATCTTCTGACACACTTGAGTCACCGGTTACAAACAATATGTCCTGCGAACGCTGCAGCTTCCACTGCGCCCGCTGCAACCGCTGTGTGCTATCGCGCCAAGGCATGAAATGTCACAAGTGCAGCCGTGGCTCGGCCAGAGCAACCAACACAGACCGTAGCTCCTTCTGTATCGTTTGCAATTGCGGTCGGCGTTTCAGTAGACCACAGGACCTATCCCGTCATCGCCCCTACTGTTCCGAACCTGCTCAACCCCCCATGGGGTCCGCGTAGCCAGAATATGGCAGCGCGTCCAAGGTCCAAGGTGTATGTGTGTGTGTGTGTGTGTGTGTGTGTGTGTCTGTGTGTGTGTCTGTGTGTCTGTGTGAACCACTGATTGTACTGTTTACATACACACGTACATAAAAACTGAACTGAAAGGCGTCAACAAAAGAAACAAATATGTGAGTAATCTCGATTGACGCTGTGTACAGCTTTGTTGTAAAATAATTTCAAAGTTTGCCAGTATCACTGGTCGATACTCCACAGCTGCATTTCACAAAATCCAACACAATGAACAGGGCAGCGTTTTCTTGAAAAACTGTTCTCCATGTTCTGTGTGGAGCATTGTCGTGCTCGGGCATGCACTGCCGAAAATGTAGCAAAGCTGCTAGATTCTGGTTTGGTGGGAGGTGCGAAAATGTATCTAGGATTCTAGTTATAGATCCAGGTTGAAATTTTTTCGTGAGCGTCTTATTAATTTTTGTATTGTGTTTCGGCATGTGGGTCTCTTCAGTTCACATGGGTGGGCAAGCGTCCGATCTTGGTGAACCACGGTCTGCCTGGTGGGCTGGAGGGATCATGCTCTTATTTGAATCGGTTTGCCTTGCGGGTGCTGTGGGTTCTGGGTGTTGCTGGTTGTCACATGTGCGTCACAATAAGTGCCTGACGGTTTTGGTTTTTTGCTTTGCGAGTGGATGTACTATATGTTATATGTGTTATTATGGTGTTATCCATGTGGTTGTCAGGGTGGATCCCTGGGGCTATTCAGGGTTAGCGTTGTGTGATTTTTTCTTTAATGTCTTTTTGCGTATTGGTAACCGATTTGTTTGTGTGGTATCTGGTGTCCTCACTGATTAATCGCTCCTGTTTCTGTAGACGTGTTCTTCCTTGCTATTATTCCATTCCTTCGTGTGGTTTTCTTTTCTGATTTTTGGCGATGGTTGAGATGTTTGTGTCAGTCCATGTTTATTTCTGTGTGCGTCTTTGTGTCTCTGTGAGTTTTTGTAACCCCATCGGCTGTGTTGTGGTTTTTCGGTCAACCGTCCAGTGTGCGTCCTGTGCTGCAAGATGCCTGGATACCCAGTTCCGCTGCCACTGTCCTCCCGGTCCGTGAGTGCCTTCGGTCTCGCCGCTCCCGGCAATATCGTGGAGTCCAGCGTGCGGCTACTCGTCACGTGTCCAACAATTGTGGTCATACATGTTGTGTTTTATTCTCGCATTTTTATGCTCATTCACATTTTCATTTCTTTCATCTTTCTGTCTTCTCCGATCTGTCTTCTTCAATTTTTTGGGCTTCATTTGTTTTGCTTTCATCCTCAGGAGAGGATGTCTTTTTCGGTGGGGGATAGAGTTGTACATGCTGCTGAATCGTGGTACACGCTGCTGAATCGTGGTACATGGTACATGCTGCTGAATCGTGGTACACGCTGCTGCGCTTTTGCAACAGGTGTGTACTCGCATGCATAAAGCCTAGTTCACATTCGACGGAACGCTGACGGTACGAGACGTAACGCCTGTCGGGAAGGCTGGGGTGAGCTGTAAAATCTTGTACGATTCGTACGACACAACATGCTGCAGTCGTTGCGTCGTTCAGCAGCGAACTACGCCAGTCATAAGGCACGGCCCATGACAGGGTGACCTTTGGACCTATTTTCTTGTTTTTCGGTACTCCTTTTCAATTATTTCTCCTTGAATGAAGCGGAATCAAGTTTGCAATACCAGTTTTTCATGAACACCAAAAAAAGTAGCACCGAAAGGTGTGCCATTCAAATTATAGCTCCAGGGAATGATAAAACAGTTCGTCTGCCACGCTCCTGAACTATCCCAAAATACCATAAGTGACACCAGACCGTATCTTGCTAAAATTCAACTCAAGTCGTGTCAGCCATTCTGCGAGTTATCATGGGAAGCACAGTGTTCGAAATGCTAAAAATTTCCAAAGTACGAATCGGGAGTAGTCGGCGCACAACGCCGTCTCCTGTTCACACTCAAAATGCAGCTGTTTTGTACACTTGCATCCCCGTCTACGCCCGTCTACGGTATGAAAAGTTGGATCGATCAAACTCTTCCCGTCGCTTCCCGATCTGTACGGCAGTACGGCTGCGTTCCCGTTCCTGGTGTTCACATTGGACGCCGTCAGACTGTCCCGTCGCTTCTCGTTGATCCTTACGTCACGTCCCGTCGTGCCCCGTCGAATGTGAACTAGGCTTTATAGTCACCCGCTCTGTACACACTTTTCGCACTGGACCCCATTGGGACAGCATTGTATCGCTTACCAGTGCACCTTTTGTGCTGATGAGCGCAAAACGTTTGCCCTGATGAGTGCACCACTTTCCTGGATATTATTCACTTGTCAGTTGTCATACGTCAGTTGTCCAGACATCTCCTTAGAGAAAGAACAAAGTATTCTCTCCAACTAAACAGCTGGCCTTCTGTTGTGTATCGCGGCCGCAAGAGGGGTGTAGTTCACTTTTAGCTAGCCGACACTTTGGTGTAATGAGTTGTATTCTGCTGGTAAGGTACAAAACTAAAATTTCCCTTGACAGCAGAAGCTTGGTTGATGGCAATGTTTAAATTGGGGACGTTCAGACTGTAATTGGTATACCCACACCCCAAGACCATTCTTGTGACCATCCCCATTCTGGACATATCAATTACCTGTCTCGTGAGAGGATGTCTTGGCCGTTGGTCGCTGGTCAACAGGCAACAGGAGAAGCATTTCTTGGTACTTTTCATTGTACAATGGACCCAAGTCATGGATTGCATTGCAGAGTAGTTTATAAGCACCTGTGCCTCCAGGACTCATAAGATTGATGATGTGAGAATTATGCACTTCCTTTCCTTCGTATTTCTCCAGACGCAGCAAGGTCTCAATTTCTGTTGTACTTATGAACACGCATTTGTCCTGCATAGCATGTCGAAACCTCGTTGTATCCAACTTATAAATCCAGGGTAAGATATTGGAAATGAACTTGGGATCATCAAATGGTTCATCTAAAGAATACAAAAAGACACAAAACCAAATATACAGGAATGTCTAACTAATCGAAACAGCAGGGAAAGATAACCATGAGTAATAATTATGAAACAGTATCCTGGACAACCAATCACCATGACAACTGAGTAATTATCTGAATTAACTGATGTGGAGCTACCTCCCTGTAAAACTATACTTTAAGCAGGGAGAAGGTGTTTTTTTGCAGGTTTGCATAGTGAACCATTTGATGGATTTCTTGTATAGGGACGGCTCTGCGGGATGGCAGTCACAATTAGTCAAATGACAAGTCAAGTTGGCAGGAAAACACCAGCTCAAAGGTTGTAAGCAACAAATATTCCATAATGGGTTTGGTTCTCTACAAGGCATCTGCATTCTATAACCTGTCTGTTGGCTATAGGAGTTTTGTTTCTTGTTTGCTCTCGTAATCACATGTAACCAAAGGCTTGTTGCTAAGATACTGCACATTCAATTATGGCGGACTGCTGGTCTGACTTACTGTTAGACATTTTGAAGTACTTTCAGGACGATGATAAACTGGTTATTGTAGCACGGTTCATACACTCTTCACTGCAATCATGGTCTGTGTAGTTTTCTGCATACACACAAACACACAGACACACACACACACCATTGGACCATTGGACGCCCATCGCCGGAGGCGATGATAGCGATGCTACAGCAGAAGCCAAAGCAGCTTGTGCTGGGATTGCACCATCCAACAGCTTGCAAGGCTGAAGAATTGACCGCCACTATTCAGCCTGGTCTACACACACGCACGCACGCACGCACACACACACACAAACATACACACATACCATTTTGGACCATTGGACGCCCATCGCCAGAGGCGATGATAGCGATCCAACAGCAGAAGCCAAAGCAGCTTGTGCTGGGATTGCACCATTCAACAGCTTGCAAGGCTGAAGAATTGACCGCCAATATTCAGCCTGGTCTACACCGCACAGCTATTTCTGACCAGTGAATCCTGTGATCGAATCCATGTGTTCAATGCATTCTAGGTTGCTAACATAACAAACCAGACCAGACACGGTATGGACTCATGATTGTATGTAGGTGTGAACAAGTTAGTTTCTGGCAATGTTGTGGTGTTTGGTTTCCGCCCAACATTGTCTAGCGTGCAGCTGAACCAACGCAGCCGAACCAACGTGCCTTGCAATGCTTTGCTAGGCTTTTCTTTCACTGTATCTTTTTGGTCACATATAATACCGTACACTTTTCTTACTCAACAGAATCTTAGAACGAAGAAGGAACGGTCGGTTGTTGTCTTTGGCGGTGTGTCGGATCATAGTGCATGCTACTAGGCGCCATTCGGTTACAGCACTTTTTGGTGCCGAAACCCGGGACTCAGGAGTTTGTGTTGTAACTCGGATTAGTCGGGCGAATTGGGTAGCAGTGCAAGATGGCCAAAGTTGAATGCTTCTTGAGACCGTTCCGTGGGGGTCGGGACGACCTGAGCGAATTCTGGGCGAAGTTCTCAGTTGTCGCGGACTTGCAGAAGTGGGACTCGGACGAAAAGAAGATGGCGAATCTACCGCTCTATCTCGAGGGTGAGGCGTTCACCGTGTGGAACGAGATGGCGGCAGCGGATAAGAAGAAGCCGGCCGATGTGAAAGCGAAGCTGACCGCCGCTTTTGGGATGGCACCGGATCAAGCATACTCGATGTTTACGTCCAGGATCTTGCGAGGAGACGAGTCGGTGGACAACTTCGCAGCGGACTTGAAGAGGCTTCTCACCTTGTCTGGTGAGCAGGTTGATGCTGATGGGAAGAATAAAATAGTGATCGGGCAGTTTCTCTCCGGGCTCCCCTCTCAGTTTGCGAAGGAGCTCCGTATGAGTGGAAAAACGGACACCATCGACGATTGCGTGGAGTACGTCAGGCGGCTTAGAAGCGTGGAGCGATCGATGAAGCCCGGTGTGGCAGCAGTGAGCTACGGTGCTCTAGACGATCGGGCTCCATCAGGCTCTTCCAGGATGACCGCTGCAGCAGGTGCAGGTCGCGACTCCGAAAGACGTGTCCTGTGTTACAAGTGTGGTCAAGTTGGCCACTTCAAGCGGAACTGCCCTGCGAGCACGAGTAGTGGCACCGGTAGCCACAAGCAAGCCAAACACAGTCAGCTGACGTGTTTATTCTGCGACGAGGCTGGGCATATGATGAGAGATTGTGCGGAGTTCAAGGCCTTCAAGCAGAAGAAGCAGCGGGGTGGGAGTGCAGCCGCTGCTCCTGTGCAATCTGGTGATCATGGTGACTCCAAGGTGTTATGCCTGAGCAGTGGAGGTGACAGTCTGCCACGGATCTTTGTGGACATCAAATGGTCCGGCGGTCCAAGCAAGCGTGTAGTAGCTGCTGTGGACACCTGTGCATCCCGCTCCCTTGTAGCTAGCGCCCTGGCAACCGACCTAGCTTTGGATATCAGGCCTACGTCATCGACAATTAATGCGATCGATGGCAGTCCGGTGGATGTCCGTGGAGTCATGGAGTGTATGATCTCACGGCTGGATAGTGCTGTGGTTCGCCTACCTGAGACCGAGACTGACATGCTGGTGGTGGACGACCTGTCTGTCGTGGAGGCTGATGTGCTGATTGGAGTTAACAGCATCGCGACTCTGGGTGGTGTGCATATGCAGTATGACGCAGGAGAACTGGTGGGGGTTGTATTCGGGACCGTCAGTGCTGCATGCCCATTGGTGCTGGCGTCGAGCACCCCAGATGAGCATCCATCACGCCCCGAGTCGGAAGCACGAGCCGTCGCTGAAGACTTTCACCACGCGGACGTGGAGAAGCTCAGCAATGGCGATGTTTTGCTGCGGGCATCAGATATGATCCTCCGGTGGAGTACGGCTGACAAGGCGTGGGAGGTGCAGTGGCAATGGGCGGACAAGACGGAGCCGACTACGTGCATCGGGTCAGGCCTTGGAGAGTACCCACGATCCAAGCTCTCCAAGGAGCAGGAACAGCTATTTGGAGATGAGGTTGAAAAATGGCTCCGCAACGGCTGGCTAGTGAAGCATGGTGAGCCGAGATGTGTGCTGCCTCTGCTCGCTGCCATCGCTGCTACCCAGGAGCATAAGGCATCAACGCCAGTTCGGCCCTGCCTCGACTACCGGCTCCTCAACCAGAAGCTGACGTCGCACCCTGGCACCGACGCTCCGGCACGTGTGAGAGACCTCGTAAACGAAGAGCTCTCCCGGAACGACACAGAGAGCGTGATCGAAGGAGCAGAGTACAGCGTAGGGGATGTGGTGCTGTTACGTCGGCCTTCCCGGAGCCGCAAATGCCTGGCACCGTACGAGCCTGGGTGGCGCATCGTTCGCGTTGTGTCGCCGTCAACAGTTGTCATCACTCGGGCTGCCGATCCACGCTCAGCCGAGAAGATTGTCAACGTGGAGATCATCAAGAGGGATGTCGCCCGTGACTTGGCCCAACCAACAGCGCTGATGGACGACAGTGCAGCGGCAACAAATGGTGGTCATCTGTACCAGCCAGCATCAGTGTTGCCAGGCCCTGAGCCCAACATAGGGGATGGCGGCATCCGCATGTCACTGCGAGACAGATCTGCCATTAGGCCACCGCAGCGCTATGGCTCCTGAAACTGTATGTGTGCCGTGTTATCAGTCTACCTTGGCGCGTGCTTAGTTAGGAGCAAGCTAGCAAATGCAAGACCCATCATGCGTTTTGCTGTTCTCTTGTTTAGCTGTTGGTGGATTGTTGGTTCTTTTCTTTGGAGAACCTTAGTTCTACGTTTTAGTGCAAGTTCCCTGTTTTGTTGTGTTACCAGGGGGGAATGTGTGATCGAATCCATGTGTTCAATGCATTCTAGGTTGCTAACATAACAAACCAGACCAGACACGGTATGGACTCATGATTGTATGTAGGTGTGAACAAGTTAGTTTCTGGCAATGTTGTGGTGTTTGGTTTCCGCCCAACATTGTCTAGCGTGCAGCTGAACCAACGCAGCCGAACCAACGTGCCTTGCAATGCTTTGCTAGGCTTTTCTTTCACTGTATCTTTTTGGTCACATATAATACCGTACACTTTTCTTACTCAACAGAATCTTAGAACGAAGAAGGAACGGTCGGTTGTTGTCTTTGGCGGTGTGTCGGATCGTAGTGCATGCTACTAGGCGCCATTCGGTTACAATCCCTACTTTTTGGTCTTTTTCATATATTTTTTCCTCACACAAATCACACCGCATACTCCGGAATGCACTGGCTGTTGGTAACCACCCAGGAGAATGAAAGAAAAAGTCAGGAGGAGTCTGAGGAAGAAAAGAAGACGTGTGTGACGATAATCGTCGGGAATCGAACCCGCAACCTCTCGATTAGAAATCGCTGCACATACCACTGCACCAGATGGGACACATATACATACTCACACACACACACACCATGTATGTACCATGTATACGCCCGTCGCAAGAGAAGAACGCAAATCTGCAAATGCACTGGATGTGCACCCACAGATTTTCTCTTTATAGCAACGATAGCGGATCTGATTCTGATTGAAACTGATCAAGACAAGCGCCAGATAACTGTCTAATCCACACAACTGGCGAAGCCATGTGAATCGACCCCCCAATGCACACCTGGTCTACACCACACGGAGTACATCGGAATAGGACGGCCAAGACAGTTACCTATGCACACCCTACACTTGCTGGGGTAACCAGTATAGACAGCACGCTGCTTTGATCAAAGCAGACACTAGATGCACTGGTACCTTGAAGTGAAATTGAGTGTGTTATTTTACCAACCAGCCTCGGCAACTGGGTACTGGGAACCCAGGGCCAACAGACGTAGCAACAACCTCAGCCATAAAGGCTATATAGTAACGAAACACTGGATTGTGGAGCCGAAACTAGTCCAACTTCCAAAATGCTTTGGCAAGAGGGTAGCCTTCCGACACACACACACACACACACACACACACACACACACACACACACACACACACACACACACACACACGCATGAATACACAACTGAGCATTGAGGTAGGCCACTGCTGCTGCTGCTGGTGCTGTTGTTTCTTCAAACCGTTATACCCAGTTTTCAATGAACAAGTTCCCAGGAATACAGAAGCTAGCAGTGGTAGTCGTGGCTCTACAATACAACTCACCGCTATGGAGATGAAAGCAGCTGCTAGGCGTTGAACAGCTGGATTATGTGATTACAAGAAACTCAGCTTGGCTAGTGATCCAGGTCACTCCAACATACAAGAGTTGACAATGCCTCATTCACTGCAGTGATCAGTTCCTTTGCTTGCTACGCTGTCGCAACCTTTACATCTGCCGGTACAGTGTGTAAGGTGCACACGTTTGTTGTGGTGTCTGAAAGAAGGAAAGAGAGAATAGAAGGCAGGTTTTAAAGTACTGATAATATTCAGAAGAGAATGTATCATGAATCATGGATGAGCGGCCTATGCTCATTCTTAGTCACTAACTACACTGTAATGGCTTTACATGTGTCTTCACTTAACACTCTACTATACTGATACAGGTTATCAACTTACACACAGTGTATAGTAGTAGACACGGGCGTATGCCAATGCTCCACTGCGAGACCGACAACCAACTGCACAAGAGGTCGCCCTCCTGGCAAGCCTGAGCTTCTCGCAGCTCAATAGCAACAGCGAGCCGGAACCCACAAATTTGCATGGCACAGCTAGTTGGCAGGGGGCTGCAACACCCCCAATCCCGCCAGCTGACCAACGACTCAGACTCGGTGAGCTGAGCCCCGAGGACACAAGGCAGATCATATCTGCAGCGTACGAGGAAATCGTACACTTCAGGCCTAACCTGTTCTCCATCCCATCGGGTGCACAAGGCAGGTCAGTGGTGGACTTGAGCGCTCGCTACCTCAACACGTTCTGAACAAACGCAGCGGGAGAAGGCATAGCCTTGAAGGCAATACTGGTCTGCCACAGTCTTCTACTGCAACAACCGGTCAACTGCTTGATACGCAAGGTGCATGTGGAATGTCTGAACCGACGAATGCAGCTTTGGAACGAGGGAAACATCGATGAGCTTGTCCGGGAGGCACGTACCATCCAGCGCCAACTAACCAAGGAACGTGGTAAGAAACGAGCCCAAAGTCCAGATGACGCGCGAAGTTTCGCTACCCTCATCACAAATGGTGAACTGGGTGCAGATCTCCAGTCCCTGACAGCAACACCTTCGGGTGGGCTGCTAAATCTGGACTCCTCCACTGTTGGTAAAACCGTGAGACAAACGCTGAAAGAGAAGCACCTGCCGCCGGAACCGCGGCATGCAGATGCCCTCATCATCGGCCCCTGCCCCGAACTGCCGCACCCAGTGCTGTTCGAAGCTCTGAACAGAGACATCATTCGGCAATCGGTGCTACGGACAAATGGAGCAGCGGGCCCATCCGCCATGGACTCTACCAGCTGGAAACGTTTGTGCACTTCGTTTGGAGCGTCCTCGGACCAGCTATGTGATAGCTTCGTCGCCTGTGCTAAGCGCATCGCCACCGGAATCATCAACCCAATCCCCCTCAAGCCATTCACAGCTTGCCACTTGGTGCCTCTGGATAAGATAAGAAGTCCGGGGTGCGCCCAATTGGCATATGTGAAGTCCTCAGAAGGATAGTAGGCAAAGCCATCCTCACCATCATCGGAGGGCAGATCCAACAGGCGGTCGGGTCACTTCAGCTGTGTGGCGGCCAAGAATGTGGAGTGAAAGCAGCAATACACGCAATGCGGCACCTGTGGAACGAGGAAGAGACCGAAGCAGTCCTCCTAGCAGACGCAAGCAATGCGTTCAACAGGCTGAACCGCAGTGTGTGCTTGCACAACATCCGTCACCTCTGTCCGGCCATCGCGGGTGCCGTCACCAACACCTACCGGCATCCCGCACGGTTGTTCGTCGATGGGGACTGTCTTCTTTCTGAGGAGGGCACCACCCAGGGAGACCCGAAGGCAATGCCCATGCATGCCATTGAGCTCCTGCCACTCATGCAGAAGGTGGCGAGCAGCTCAGCCGACAAGAAGCAGGAGCCGTACTCTGCCACAATCTCGTACATCCGATGCAAGCTAAGCTTAGCCCTCATCCGTGCTGCTGGTGCCAGTCTGCGAGGCCATCGGCACCGAGTATCCTCAGATGCAAACGACTCGGCCCGATGTGCGGTTGCCATGAGCAGCATCGGTTAGGTTCTTTTGAGAGTCATTAAAATCGGTACTAGACTGTGTTCAAAGCCATGGCATTTTTTAACTCCCTCCCGAGGCTCCGTATTAGACTGTTTTCACAGCCATTTTTTGCTTTCTCGACCGTGTTTACAGCCATTTTTTTGCTCTTTTTCTTCCTGTACTGTTGAGGTTGCGCTTGTGTTTATTTATTTTCATGAAAAAATTAACTTGAAGTGACTTGCAGAAGACGGGTACGACGAAATATTCGAATTACACGGAATGTTTGAATTATACCGTATTTGAATTAGAGGTAGTCCACCTGTAGTAACAACATACTTCACTTATTGAATGGGCGAGAAGGTAAAACTACCATTACAACTTCTGGCAAGAGTAAATAAGCTCGCATGAGCTTATATACTCTTGCTTCTGGTATGGAGAAATAGAATCAGGTAATAGAGGAAGCAAGTGGAGTGGACAGTGGTAGCTTCACAAACAGGATAGTAGCAGAGGGCTGCCACTTTTCTGTTGGCAGAAATCAGAAGCAGTGTCTGAGGTGTTCAATGGCAGGGAGTCAAGGGGACAGCGACCTCTTTAGAAGTCGTCACATTTTTAGGATTTTAAGTGCCAGAAATAACAAAATAGTACACTTTGGTGAACAATCGTTTCGGTCGCTTTGTCGGAACAACTGATCGGAGTGTTTCCGGAAAATCGGAATAGAACAAGTCGAGGCCCTGACGATATGGATAGCCCTCCGTCCTGGCACATTTAAGTACATGCAACGCGGTTAACTATGATCAACTAGTGACAGCGAGTGGAAGGCAAAAAAATCAGACTATCGGTGGCAAAGTTATGATACTTTTAGTGGCATGGGTCAGGGGTGTAGGAAGCAGATTTCCAATGGTCCGGCGGATTTTTAGCTCTTTACAGGTCGCAATTTTTTTTAATTTTTAACTCCGCCCAGTATGACTACTTCAGAATTGACTTTGTCTTGGGGGTTAGGCATGGGGAAGTTGCCATACAGGGGTGGTGAGCACGCATATTGGCACCGGAAATACAGCTCACTCGACTCTGTCTCTACTGAATGAAGAGGGTGATTATACTTGTAAAATGATTGATATGAACAAATACTGTGATATCATGAAAGATTTGAGGTTTTAAAACTGTCTGAATTGGGAGAGCTGATGCTCACTTCCACATTCAAATTCACTCTTCAGGCACTAGACGTCCAGCAGTTTCTTGTGGACATTCAGGAACATCATGAGTCATGTGTTTGAGCCTTTCCTGGCCGGTTGTACTGTGTTGGACTTGACCCTCCGCATGGTTGAAAACGAGCTTGTTGCCTTTTTTCTTCTTTTTTTCGGCGAAACATCGGCGGCTGCCGGACCTGTTCCTATGCCCCTGTGGGTACATCATGAACGTTGGCCTATGTCGAACATTTTGAGGGGGTACTTGAGCACCCTAAGCACCCCCCCCCCCCCCTGGGTACACCACTGGTATGAACTGAGCCTGTAAAATCTATTTCAAGTCCTGCACAGCTTGATAAGAGTTCAAACTTTCTATCTTGCATAGCACTGTAAAAAATAGTTCAGTACCTAATCCTTTGATGGAAAATTCTGCATTGCCATACCAACCAATTGTCTCCGGTCTTGCAGTACAACACATCCTTTCCCCTTCAACAACTGTCTCCGGTCTTGCAGTACAACACATCCTTTCCCCTTCAACAACTGTCTCTGGTCTAAACTAGCATCTAGTTACCGCCTGAACACATCTGCAATTTCGATCTCAAGCAAACTGTTTGACTCATGAACTTAGCTGTCCAGCATGCCACACAGTTCACAAACTCACTGTCATAGAGGATGGCTAAGGTAATTGCTAGTTGGTGATCAGTGGAATGGTGTGCTTGCTAACCGTGCCTGTGTTGTGTGTTTGTGATGTGGTTCAGCAACTGTTGATCCAGGACTGAAACTTACAAGAATTGACAATCAGGCTTCATTCACTGCACGTCAGTTCTTGGCTAGCAATGTTGACAGTAACGTCAGACCATAGTACCAGCAATACTTGCACACGGCCGGCCGTCGCACTGAAATTAGTATCTGAAGAAAGCAAGAAAAATGGAGCATGAACGTCTTTCAAACAAAGGATCTGCACATTCTAATCCCCAATCCCCCCCCCCCCCCCCACACACACACATGCACATACATTAAAGTCCAAATTTTATAACTCCCATTGGCCTGCTCAAGCTTGTAAGTTAGTAGATTCTACAAAACAGTACCTGGAATTAAAGATGAGAAAAGCTGAGCAATGTGATGTGCAGTTGTGCATACTCAGTCTGCTCTCTTGTACGGATAGAGACACATGGCGGACAGGTGACATTCTCCCTCTAATTCTCCTCACACTGACATAGTAATAGAGCAGTACATGTATCTGATTCACGACTGTCCCTATTTTCCTATAACTTACAAACCATGATATACATATACAGAGATTACTCCTATAACCACCGTTGAATTTAAGTGGAAAAGATACTTTAGATTTGGAATTCTGAAGCTGATAACATTATAGCCGGTATATTCTTATAACCACCAATCAGTATAGCTGATCTCTACCTGTACTACAAACACAAGAACTTGCTTTTTTGACTTGGCTGGTAAAGAAACCCATCTGAGTTGCACTCTCCCAGGGGCTATTTACTCTTGCTTATAGAGAACTCTATGTTGAAAATATTTTGGTATTTCGGTCAACAATGGCCCTCCGTCGTACACCAGGGAGTCGTACAAGCCCGGGTTTGTGTGACTCCCTGTCACAGATCTACTCACACGATCAGTACTATAAAAAATGGCTTCGGCTCGATTTTGGTGCGGGACGGCCCGGGAATCCCTTTTCTTTTTGTAAGAGAAGAAATTCTCCCGCCACGTATTATTGGTGTTGTCTCAAACAGCAGCTGACTGGACAAACTGCGATGATGGATTTCAGGGGCATAGCCAGGATCATGATCAAGAGAGGGGGGGGGGGGGGGTACGGAACAAATTTCCCCAAAAGTACATGATTGTAGATGTGTTCTGTGTGTTCATACACACACCATGCCATGGTAGTAGATGATTGTACTTGCAAGTACTGCTAGGATGCCGCTAGATTTCCACATAGTCCATGATATGTACGGCCAATGAAGGCAAAACAACAGAAGCAACCACCACAGTTGACATTCAAGATCACTCTTCAATGTTCAGCTTCCTAGTAATGAGCCAGATCCTGGATGCTGCTTTTGCTGGAATTACCACTCTCCTATGATCCCAAAATCAGATTTTTCCACTCTTTTTTTCTCTTCTTCTCGGATAGTGCAGGAAACCTGACTGGTTGATCAGACTCACTAGCTTTCCTAAAGAATAGTGAATCGCATTTCAACTTGTACATGTACCTCTCTGCTTCTGCTAATATATGAGTGCACTTGGAAAAACATGAACAAAACTTCTTTTTCTTTTACACGACCGCCAACGCAAACGCTAAACCGCCAGAACTACAAAACACAGCATAACAAATTGATATGCTGCACGGCTTTTTCTTGTGTTATCCAATGATGAGAGTATAGGGTTGTGTGACAGCACAAAGCATGGAGTAGTAAAATACTACTATATTACTACTCTCTGTTGTGCGACAGCTACATTCTCATTTAGTTCAGAGACATATCCCCTCTTGTCTACATTCAACCGTCACCAGCAATCAGCGACATCAACACTAGGAGATATGGGCCAAGTGCCAGTGGCGACCTGCCCGGCTGATGCAAACGACTTTGCTTGATGTGTTCCTCAACAAATATCTTGTGGTGCTGTGGAGAATCCAGTTTTGTTGCTGCTTGTGTGGATAAACAGTATGCACAAAGCAGAGAGTAGTAAAATACTACTACATTACTACTCCCTGTCACAAAGCATTACAAACATGACACCGCTCCACTGCAGACAGGTACTAGCCTACTTGTACAGTATGCACAAAGCAGAGAGTAGTAAAATACTACTATATTACTACTCCCTGTCACAAAGCATTACAAACATGTATTGACACCACTCCACTGCAGACAGGTACTAGCCTACTTGTACAGTATGCACAAAGCAGAGAGTAGTAAAATACTACTATATTACTACTCCCTGTCACAAAACATTACAATCATGTATTGACACCGCTCCACTGCAGACAGGTACTAGCCTACTTGTACAGTATGCACAAAGCAGAGAGTAGTAAAATACTACTATATTACTACTCCCTGTCACAAAACATTACAATCATGTATTGACACCACTCCACTGCAGACAGGTACTAGCCTACTTCTACCTACTGTACATCTACACACTCTCAGAAATTTCCTTGACCATTTTGAAAACACCGACCGGTACGCTATTATCCGGAGCATAAGCGCCACTGCAGTATAAGCCAGACCCCCCCCCCCATTTTTGCCACGGAATACAGATATCTACCCTTTTTATCACTGTTAATTTGATCATCGGAGTTCAAGCCGCACTCCCATTTTTGGGCGAATTTTGAGCGTTCAAAGTGTGACTTATACTCCTGAAAATACGCTACATTTGGAAATATTGTGGACAGGTAAACAGTCACTGTTCGTTCTGCAGAGTTGCACGTGTGATGAACGGACAGTGTACAATGCTGTCTCTCCAACCAAGATCGGAAATTTGAGTGCTTTGGCACCCAAAGCACCCCCCCCCCCCCCCCCCACCCTTGCTCATGCCCCTGGATTTGTTTGGAATGAATCCAGAAACTCTCCTAGAATAAACCAGCATGCATGTTTTAGCAGCGAGACATGAAGCATCTCTGAAACTCACCGTGCTACTGACGCTGGCAGAGGGGCGAAATCAGTCAGCTATCAAAGTTTCGCTAAGCCGCGGTGGCGAATTGGAGTAATGCGCATGCGCATGCTCCGCACAGTCTAAGCCGCGGTGATCAGCTGAAGTGAAGGGTGCGCTAGCTCAAGTTTCCACTCAACTGACTCGGACGGTCGGACGGATTGCTGAATGAAGTATTGATGAGCGATGGTGTCTGCGCAAGGAACGTTAGCTACACTTACAGAGCACGCTTTCAACGTTTTCAAACAGTGGCTGGGCTTCTACAAATTGGTTCTAGAACTAGTAGAAGTCACTGAGTCTGAGCTACTAGCCTAGCCTAGCATACAGCGAAATGAGTTCCTAATTCTGCGGTGGACTGAAGATGGGCGACTGGTACTCTTACTAAGTCTCCTAGTCTTGCGCTGGCAACTACGCCTATGTTCGATTTTACCTTCTTGACAAACCGTTGAAACGTTGAATACAAACTAATACTAATACTTGCTCCTTCTCGGTCGGGACATCTACTGAGTACTGTACAGCGGACTGGTGGATTACAAGAGCGGACCAAGACAGATAAGTAAAAAAAACTATCTCGGACCAGCTCCAAGGCAAGAGTCAAATCGATTGAAGCCCGGGGCCGTGTATATCTACATGGTGTACAAAGTCAATGTCACGTAGCCTACTGTCGACTACTCACGTGTGATCACCCTGTCTTCATCGCTTTTTTCAGTGGTGCGTGATCTCAGGCTTGGCCATTCCTCATCCTACTAGTTCTACTCGTGTCATGTAGCGTAGGTAGTCGACCCAGTAGGACCCACCCGTCACCCGTCCCGCGTTAGTCACATGAGCGGCACTAGGATTAGGAATGACAGCCAAGCCTGTCGACGATTGCGTGGTACTGGTAGCATGCATGGCACTGATGCTGGCAGTCTGTGGCTGTGCCTCTGTGGTCGAGATCACGCGCCACGGAAAAAACGATGAAGCCGCGACCGCGCCAGACAACAGGCTCCATGATCCAGCCTCCGATCCAGCGACGTCGTCGAGGTTGCACTCAGCTCAACCCAACCATGTACAGTAAAGCGACAGACTTTCGCGGCGCAAATTTAGCGTTTTCATAAATTGGGCTGGTTCACGGTGAGAAACTTTTGCGATTCTATCTCTCCAGTCGGATCTTGTACTGTCTACAATCTGTAATTCTGCAAGAATTCTCTGAATTTGCAGTAGAATTATGGTTACATGAGGAGGTGAAAGCGAAGATGTGACAGTGTGTTAGGCCTTTCATCTCACATAATAAAACCCGAGATTTTTTAGTGACGTCAATAAACAAACACATCTTCGCGCCTTTATCCTCAGCTCCAACCTGACCCTCACTGGCCTTTTGAACGAGCTGACAGAAAAACTAGTATTTCATGGAATACAACTTGAATTGGTAGGTGGCACTACAAAGTCATATACCATAGGAAGCGTGCAGTCCACACCTTGGAAACATGACACGGATAACGGGATAAACGGAAGTATTATACATTCGGCACCGCAGCCAAATAACACATAAAATAGTGGTCAATCCAACAGATGTGGATCACTAGAGCAGACAGTCAACCCACTGCTTAGGAACTGTGACAGCTAGGGTGGGTAGAAACGGAAACGTTCATCATAGAATGGGTGGGAACACACTGTCACATCTTCGCTTTCACCTCCTCATGTAACCATAATTCTACTGCAAATTCAGAGAATTCTTGCAGAATTACAGATTACATTTCAGAGGTTCCAGCTCGATGCTCCAGTGTGTCATTCAAAGTGAACAAAACCTAACATCGGTCTGAAGAGGCAGACACTGCAGTCGGTCCGGACTGAGCGATCAATCAGCATTCAGGACAGCTTGGGTGAACTGGGCCATTGCAGATGGCCGGTAGTAATGCCGAATAAACGTGCTGGGACCACCCAATCAGCGGCGGCAAGCACAACTTCCATGGGGACACCAGAAGAGCGAGCAGCAGACGTAGCGGCAGATCGAGTTGAATGACCAGAGAACTGTGCAGTGTCTACTCCACATAATCCCAGTCCGAACGTCCTCGGCTCGCACCGCCTGTGGGATGCTGTGGTGGACGGGACCACTCGGGCGGTTGAGGCCTGTATGGAGCAGGTCGGCTTGCGCGGGAATACGCCCCGGGGCGGCTTTGCCAGGGCCTGGAGGAAAAACCCTCTGACGAAGAGCGATGGTGGGTCGGCAAGTCCCAGCTCCGGGGATGCGCCTGCAGAAATTC